TATCGTCCTCTTTTGGAAGACCAAACAAAGTAGTTTTGCTTTCACAACGAAACACACAGCGTCTTCACGGCATGGCGGCAGCAACAATACTACAGCGAGAACAAAAGTTACACCTTCTTTCTCTGCGTGAACATTTGGGTGGCGTTATGCAAATCTTCCCACATTGTGACGTAAACGTGGAGGCGTGTTAGAACCAGCCGTTTTAGGTAGGTGTGGTTGACTTAACTTTTATAAAGAATATCTCATTGGATTTGAGACTTTAGTGTTTGCAACTTTGCAGATCTTCTTTATGCACCAAGAGCTTGTAACACTTCAAAGAGAAAGGAAAAATTGAAATCGCATCATATGACCCCTTTAAAACCTTTTAAGACTGCTAAAACACCGTCAACTGTACTTATAGCTCAGAATGGCAATGATATTGAACTAAAGCCAAATGCTCGAAATGTTTTGTTAAACAGTCACCTGTCTAATGTTTTCGGCCACCAGACATCCCACCACCATCCTGTCGCTGTTAATGAACAGGTAAGTTTTAGCCGAGCTCGGGCTACTGAGAGTGATCTGCTGAAAGCCCAATTCACTGTCTGCAATCCGCCTCACGTCCTCTGCCTGAAACAAAGCAGCATAGGTTAGGAAACACTGGAGATTTAGCTGGACAGAGCAAGTATTTAAACTATAATCAGTAACTGCCAGCATACCTTTTTTGTGGCATACTTAGGATCATCAGGAAGAACGAGAATAATCTTTCCATCCCAGAACTCAGCCATAACCCTTTCTTTTTTCCAGCCCTAAAAACAAACAAAATGATGTCAAATTCCAGCAGAATTGCTCTCAGCTGCATTGATGACAACTTCATGACAGCTCACCACAAATTTAATGGTGTCCAAGAAGCGCTGATGGAACTGTGTGTGCTGGAAGTTGTCCTCAGGACTATCTGTACTGTACAGCATCCCACAGGACCCGCATGTGGTGGCACCAAACTGCTTCTGACCAGCATCCTAAACACCAGACACATTAATCAAGATGAGGTGGAAAAAAACCAGCCATTTATTTCTGTCTAACAATTTGACTTGCTACTCACAATGATAAGCTGATTATCTGTCTGCTTCTTCATCTCTCTTCTCAAGGCAGTCCTCTCTTTGGCCTTAAGAGCAGGAGTACCAGTAAGTGCGGAAGGAGTGCTGGTGTTCAGCGGTGGTGACAAAATCCCTTTTTTCTGAGATCTAAAACAAAAGATGAGAACAACTGATTAACCAGCTTTACATGGGTCGTGACATTAAAGTTAAAAGACTGAATATAACCTTGCTGGCACACACAGGGTCATTAATTCATTCTAGCCTTGCTGTCCTTTTCAAACTATTACTTTTTTCACTGTAATCATTTGTTTCAGTATTTTTCCACAGTTGCATTAGTAAAAAAAAAAAAAAGGTATGATTGTCTTACCTCTTACTGCCAAAGATGGGATAAACAGATGACTCTTCTGAAAAGATAGCAATAAATTCTGTGTTTTTCTGTCAATATGGGGTGCTGTGTGTACATTAATGAGGAAAAAAATGAACTTAAATGATTTTAGCAAATGGCTGCAATATAACAAAGAGTGAAAAATTTAAGGGGGTCTGAATACTTTCCGTACCCACTGTATATATATACACACACACACACACACACAGACACACAGTGCTGTTGAAAAGGTTTTTGCCCCCTTCCTGTTTTGAAATTTTTTGCATATTTGTCACACTTGCCGTTTTTAAATGATTTCTTTTATTAAGGGAAAAAAACTGTCCAAACCTGCCTGGCCCTGTTGTGCTCTTGGAGTAATTTTGGTTGGCCGGCCACTCCTGGGAAGGTTCACCATTGTTCCAATTGTCTCCATTTGTGGATAATGGCTCTGACTGTAGTTCGCGTGAGTCCCAAAGCCTTAGAAATGGCTTCATAACCCTTTCCAGACTGATACATGTCAACTATTTTGTTTCTCATCTGTTCTTGAATTTCTTTAGATCGTGGCATGATGTGTTGCTCTTTAAGCATGCTTCACTTTGTCAGACAGGTTCTATTTAAGTGATTTCTTGATTCAACAGGTCTGGCAGTAATCAGGCCTGCGTGTGGCTAGTGAAATTTAACTCCGCTTTCTAAAATGATGTGGTTAATCAGTTCTTTCATGATTTAACAAATGGGGCAATTCATTTTTCACGTAGGGCCAGGTAGGTTTGGACAGCTTTTTTCCCTTAATAAATGAAATTATCATTTAAAAACTGCATTTTGTATTTACTTGCATTATTTTTGTGTAATATTAAAATTGGTTTGATGATCTGAATCTTTTACGTGTGACAAATATGCAAAAAATAAACAAAACAGGAAGGGGGCAAAAACCTTTTCACAGCACTGTATATACACACACACTTATATACAGTTTATACAATATATAAAAATATATATATGACTCTGGACCACAAAACCGGTCTTAAGTAGCACGGGTATATTTGTAGAAATAGCCAACAATACATTGTATGGGTTAAAATTGTAGATTTTTTGGGGGGGGGCCAAAAATCTTCAGGATTTTGAGTAAAGATCATGTTCCATGAAGATATTTAGTAAATTTCCTACTGTAAATGTCAAAACTTAATTTATGATTAGTAATATACATTGCTAAGGACTTCATCTGGACAACTTTAACGGCGATTTTCTCAATTTTGATTTTTTTGCACCCTCAGATTCCAGATTTTCAAAACAGAATTGATATAATCACATTAAACAACCTATTTAATAACTGGCCAAATTAGAAAGAAATTTTGATTCATAAAATATATCTTATATATATATATAAGATAATAATATATAATAAACCCTATTTCATATTGTTGAATCATGAACACTGACCTTAATTGAGGCAAGTGAGGCCTGCAGTTCTTTAGATGTTGTTCTGGGTTCTTTTATGACCTCCTGGATGAGTTGTCGTTGTGCTCTTGGAGTAATTTTGGTAGGCCGGACACTCCTGGGAAGGTTCACCATTGTTCCAATTGTCTCCATTTGTGGATAATGGCTCTGACTGTAGTTCGCGTGAGTCCCAAAGCCTTAGAAATGGCTTCATAACCCTTTCCAGACTGATACATGTCAACTATTTTGTTTCTCATCTGTTCTTGAATTTCTTTAGATCGCGGCATGATGTGTTGCTCTTTAAGCATGCTTCACTTTGTCAGACAGGTTCTATTTAAGTGATTTCTTGATTCAATAGGTCTGGCAGTAATCAGGCCTGCGTGTGGCTAGTGAAATTTAACTCCGCTTTCTAAAATGATGTGGTTAATCAGTTCTTTCATGATTTAACAAATGGGGCAATTCATTTTTCACGTAGGGCCAGGTAGGTTTGGACAGCTTTTTTCCCTTAATAAATGAAATTATCATTTAAAAACTGCATTTTGTATTTACTTGCATTATTTTTGTGTAATATTAAAATTGGTTTGATGATCTGAATCTTTTACGTGTGACAAATATGCAAAAAATAAACAAAACAGGAAGGGGGCAAAAACCTTTTCACAGCACTGTATATACACACACACTTATATACAGTTTATACAATATATAAAAATATATATATGACTCTGGACCACAAAACCGGTCTTAAGTAGCACGGGTATATTTGTAGAAATAGCCAACAATACATTGTATGGGTTAAAATTATAGATTTTTTGGGGGGGGCCAAAATTCTTCAGGATTTTGAGTAAAGATCATGTTCCATGAAGATATTTAGTAAATTTCCTACTGTAAATGTCAAAACTTAATTTATGATTAGTAATATACATTGCTAAGGACTTCATCTGGACAACTTTAACGGCGATTTTCTCAAAATTTAGATTTTTTTGCACCCTCAGATTCCAGATTTTCAAAACAGAATTGATATAATCACATTAAACAACCTATTTAATAACTTGCCAAATTAGAAAGAAATTTTGATTCATAAAATATATCTTATATATATATAAGATAATAATATATAATAAACCCTATTTCATATCTATAAAATAAAAAATATATTTTAACTTTTTAAATAAAGGATTTATAGAAAATTATGTTTATTTACCTTCATCAAGAGAGCTGTCCTGTGGTGGTATGCCACTCACATCAAACACTGAATCCGTTTTTGCGGGCGAGTCCTGGAAAACATTTTCAGTTTGAGAAAAAGATGATGAGAGCTTTACATTTAAAGTTATTAGCAGATGATCCAAGAGTTCAATCTTACCTGGCTCCCAGCTTCACTGGATCCATTGGGACTAACGGATCTCCTCAAAACCACCTTTAACTCTTTGGTAATACCATGCAGATCTGCCAGGATGTGAGGGGACATCTGTTTAGAGCTCAACATCACTTGCGTTGATTCACTGCCCTCACCATCTTCATCAGTGGTACCTGTAGCTGTGCTTTCTGCTTTTGGGTGTTTTTTTAAGAAGACGGCACGGCGGACTGGGGAACGTTCTCCTGGTGCTGTCAGCGCTTCCTTCTCCTTCGCGGGCTTCTGAGAGTTGGGTTTCTCACAGGTTGAGGGCTGTTTAGGCTTTGCGTTCTGTGCAGACCTTTTGAACATTGAAGTGGGCTTTTTTCCAGTGCCGAAGAAAGCTGCCCCCACAAGCAGCTTGGGTTTACTCTTGGATTTCATACTGCTAAATGAAATGGGGACCACCGTGGCCTTCAACAAATGATCTGTTTGCGTGTCTGAGGGATTTTTCCCTTTGGGTTTAGCAGTAAAGTAGCCTTTTAGGTTAGACTGTGGATCTGCGCCAGTGCCTTTCTTTTGAACCTTCTTCACTGGTTTTCTAACAGGATTCCCAGCATTCAAAGGGAGGTGTGATGGTTCTTTGATAGGGACTGATGGTGGTGACTTGGTTTCCTTTAACAGCTTCCTTTCCAGAGGTGTGAGATAAAGAGGTTTCTGCTTGCTGTAGAAGGATCCCGCTCCCAATACTGTTTTGCGTGGAGAGATCCGCTTTGGAGGAGATTCTAATGAAGAGGTCCTCTGCATCTTCTTAGGTGTACTGAGAATCTTTTGGGGTGATGCCAGTGAGATGGGAATGTTCTCTTTTTGACCAGTGGTCCTTCTTGGAGACTTTCTCGGGCTTGTAATTAGTTTTTTGGATGGGTTGCTGTGGTGGGTTTAAACGAAATGGAAGGAAATGGCTCACAATCTGTGTCATAAGAGCAAAGTACATTTCCAGATCTAGTAACGTTATCTAACAAAATTACATCACATACCTCTGGGCATCAGGAGAGCCATGTTTTCTTTTTCGGGATAACATCTTCAAATCAGTTACCTGAAATGAGAAGACTAAGAATAAGATCATGACGTGAACTATACCGCTTTTATAGGACGTCACAGATTGCATTTCTGGAACATTCTGATATTTCTGCAATATTATTTTGCTTCTACTTTATCATATGAGAAATGTGGAGAAAAAGCAGTAACACTATCAAATTTAGAAAACAATATTCGACAAAAACAGTGAGAATAGTGTGACTTTAAGCCGAGACTCAAAAGAATCAAACTGTATGGGTTCTTGTGGCAAGCTTATTGCTATGATAACGGTATATACCTTGGCCCATAGTATAAAGAATACAGTACACACACACACACACACACATATATGAAGAGTTCAGATGCAAAAGCCTCT